ACATCATTACATAAAAGGGTACGGTCTTTTTTTTTTTTTAGTTTTATTCATTTCAAACGGGCCGGATCCGGCCCGCGGGCCGTAGTTTGCCCATGGCTGGTGTAGATAGTATGCTCCTTTAGAGTAATTAACTGATCTGTCAAAGGCTTGATATGAAGCTTGTAATACAAAGTTCATTTTATAGTGGCAATGTTTCTAACACTGTCCCTCTTCTTTTTGGGTAGTCATCCATTACTTTCCCATTTGGGCACACCTTACTGGTTATAAAAAGCATGACCAAGTATGCCGAGTCTTGTTACCCTGGACACATTTTCAGCAATAGGAAAAAATACACAGCAAATGTTACCTCAGAGGCTTTTCTGGGGGTTCAGAATGAGTCACCCCAAACTGCTTCTGCAGTTTTGAACTAAAGGCAATTTTAGCTTCAGGCTCAAAAGAAACTTTTGCCCTTCCTTGTAATTGCCTAGAAGGACTTGAATTAGGGGCCTTGCCCATAATAAGAGATGATCAGCAATAACCTTTTGACCTACATATATGGCAGGGCAATCTTTTTACTAAATATCTGTTCTTTTCATCCTGCAATGACCCTCTAAAGCCCTCAATGTGCATTATTACCTTATCCCTAGCTCAGAATCTCATATATAACTAGACTCCCTTTTCTGTATTTGAACCTCTCCTGCATGTGGCATCTCTGACTCTCACCTATGCTGGGGTCCCACACATATATATGTATTAAATTTGGTTATTTACTCTTGCTAATCTGTCTTATGTCTATTTGATTATTAGACCAGCCAGAAAATCCTTGAGGGCAGAGGAAAATTCATTCCTCCTCCACACTCGTCTACAGTGACAATGCCTTACATCTACTAAAATACCTCCCATAATTCTCCTTTGTCTTTAAAACCCAGTTTCTTGGTGAAACATTCAAAGCTCTGTCAACTCTTGGCCTCACACTACTTTTTAAACCTTATATCTATTAGTCTCCTCTATCAGCTTTTGTTCCAGCCAAGCTGGTTTTCTTGAAGTCAGATGAACAGACTCACACTGTTCTTAATTGCTCTGACAGCTCCACCCACCTAAGAGTTTATGAAGAGTGGGGATTTGTGTGATGGGTTAGACATGAAGTGGTGGAAGATAATTTACCTCCTCTCTCCTTACTTCATCTCCAAATCCTACTACTTCTTTAGGATCCACTTTAGATTGAAGTGTTCTCTACTCACCTATTATAAATAGGACAGCATGAGCAATTCATTTGATCATATTAACAAACGATGTTCTGCCTCACAACTTGTTTATGGATTCAAAATGTGATTTTTAATAATTATTCATTTAACTTTTCATGTGTTTATTTCCCCAAAAGATAAGCTCCCCAAGGGCACAAAGCCACTCATATTGTTCATGTACTTCTTTATATCAGATAGATGTCTTGCATATAGTATATACTCAATAAATATTGGCTAGTTTTATTAATTTAACTAATATTACAAAAAATTATCAATAAAGTGTTAGTGTTGAAAAGCTTTGCTTAGAAATTTTTTATTAAGAATTCCATGTAATCAGAGGCTTTCTGAGGAATATGTGAACCACGATATGAAAATGAATTATTTTGGGGGTCAATTTTCTTTAAAATCAAACAAACAAGTTTATTGTAGAAATATTAACATTTAAAGTGAATATTTTCATATATAATTAAATATACCAATATATTAACAAAATTATTCTAATTTCCGCCATCCTTTTCAATCTTTTTTTTTTAATCCTCACCCGAGGATATTTTTCCACTGATTTTCAGAGAGAGTGGAAGAGAGAGGAAAAGATAAACAGAAATATTGATGTGAGAGAAACACATGGATTGGTTGCCTCCTGCACATGCCCTGACCAAGGTTTGGGTCGGGGAGGAGCTTGCAACCAAGGTACATGCCCTCGACTGGAAATGAACCCGGGACCCTGTGGTCTGCAGGCCGACACTCTATCCACTGAGCCAAACCAGCTAGGGCACAATCTTAAAAAAAAATGTTTTTATTGATTTCAGAGAGGAAGGGAGAGTGGGAGAGAGATAGAAACATCAATGATGAGAGTGAATCATTGATTGGGTGCCTCCTCCATGCCTCTTACTGGGGATTGAGCCCAAAACCTGGGCATGTGCCCTGACTGGGAATCTAACATTGACCTCCTGGTTCATGGGTGATGCTCAACCAAAGAGCCACACAGCCTGGGCAATCCTTTTCAATTTGATCCAAATGTACATATATTTTACAGACTTGGAAATATTAATACAACATAATTTACTTAACTACACCTCTATTATCCAATACTGTTTTTCTTTACTTTCTCTAGGTCCAGATCTTATATACTACATAAATTCAAACTACCCCCAGCAGTCAGAATACATTGTTACATACATTTTGCCATTGTTCTCTTTGCCAGGAATGTTCTTTCCTTCATGCATCTGGGAAATTAATCTTTATTTAAAATAGAAGTCTATGAAATATTTTTATCTCACACCCTACTAGTAAAAAATGTTCAATATCCAGCTCCAACATACTCTGCATATTTATAAAACATCTAGTCTCGAACAGTATGATATGCATATGAGACATACACAAGAATAAAAATGAATGAGGTATAATATTAAAAAATAATTTTTAATTATCTAAGGCCCCAAACTTGTTTTTCTTGTCACCTCTCCCCATTATTAACAGTCACAGATGCATAGTCACATTCTGGTGTTGTCTCTTTACATGTCTCCACTCTATGAGAGTTCCTCTAAGATTGGAGCAAGGCAGTAGTTATTTCTGAATAGTTTTTATTCATCTTTGTGCTTCTGTATTCCTATGTCCTGGCACACTGTACAACAAAGAGATCAAGAGATGCATAAATGCTCACTAAGTGGATTTGAGTTTGTTTGTTTTTTAATTACATCTTTTGAATGATTTTTGAAGGATAAATTCCAATTCCTAGGGCACAAGAGTTAAGCTACAGGTTTGAACACCACATTCTAGCTGTGTAAATTTGAGTAACTTCCTTCTCTTGTCTCTCTGTTTATTCATCAGTAAAACAGAGAAAAATTTTATCTACTATATAGGGGGGTTATATGCCCCAAACACCTACCACAGTACCTGGGTGAGTTAACTTTTATTATTGATCAACACATACAATCTTTAAAATTGCTCTTGATACCACTGCCTAATTAAAAACAAAGCTCCTGCTGATGATTTCTGGTGTAGTCAATGGGTCACTTCATCTCCTTTGACATAATTTGACCCTTTATATGATATACTGCATGTCAGTAACAGCCAATCTCTTTTTGGCATCAAAGCTTACCTAGGGAGGAGGAAATTTCTGCTGCTGCTTCAGAGCTTTTAAAGATGCCGTTTTTCGATTCTCCCTTCTACTCAGCCCTGAAATTGCCTCCTTGAATTTTTCTAAAAGTGCCTGTTTAGCTTCAAGTTATTGACAAAGGGTGCCTCTGTAAGTTTCAGTTGTTAACTCATAATCAAATTGAGCAATTTTACAATGCTACTTTTCTTTTGGTTTTTCTGAGATCTTACTTTAAGTGTTTGTTTTTTTAAATTGATTTTAGAGAGGGAGGGAGGAGAGGGAGAGGGAGAGGGGGAGAGGGAGAGGGAGAGGGAGAAGTAGAGGGAGGGAGGGGGAGAGAGAGAGAGAGAGAGATGAGATACACCAATCTGTTGCTTCCCATATGAACTCTGACCAGGAATTGAACCTGCAATCTAGGTATGCACCGTCCCTTACCAACAAAAAGGTTAGGTCTCACTTTATTGTGATGGTCGGGAACCCCCAATATCTCTGAGGTATGTCTGTCCTCATTATTACTACGTAAGCTAGTTCACGGTTCATTTTAATTTATAACTGTTATCTTGTAGACATCCTCTCCTACTTTTCCCTACTATATATACTACTTACCTATTCTGTACCACTCAGCTTTCCTACATTTATCTTTTTCTAATCCTTTGGCTTATTATTACTGTGGCTCTGAATCACTGATCTTTGCAAGGCACCATCTGATAAATCCTGAAGGAAACCAAACTAGGGGATATGTTCACATCCAGGAACTCAGTTCAAGACATAAGGCTTAGACTTCAAGATTAAGTAAGGTACACCAGGAGAGGTGGGAACTGTGTTCGTGAGAAGTATGGAGTAGAGGCTAAGACCAGAGAATATGAATCCTGGTTCTGCTCCCTTAGCTCTGTGGACCTAGTAAGTTCCTAAGTTTCTTCATCTGAAAAGCAGAGGTGATAACAGTATTTGCACCATAAGATTATCAATCTGAGATAACAGCATGTGTGAAGCACTTAAGAACAGTGTCTGGCACATTGTAAACACTCAGTAAATATTAACTATTGAAATATTTATAAACAGATAATCGGTTGACAGCAGGTGGGAAGGTAGAGCAAGAATTTGAAAATTTAGAGAAAACAATCATTGAATGTTAGTTTCATTCCTTCTGTATTTTCTCATAAACTTCTCCATCCTTAAGTCCTAATTCTAGACTGAAATACTTTTTTCTTCCTATAAAATTTCCCAGTCTTGGTGAGATTTTTTTTTTTTAACAGCATCAGTTCAAAATATGTGAAGGCAGCAACAGTAAAGCTACCAATCATAGCCTTATGGTAGACTATTTTTGTACTTTATTATCTACAAAATAGCCATGTTTCCAGTTTGTATAACCTAAACATTTGTTATTCACTTTCCTGCTGGTATAATTGGGAGTAAGGATGGGAATAAAAAGGAAGGCAGGATTTAAAGCTTTGCCTCACCAGCATTTTAAAGACCAGTGACAAAGGTCTTTCATAGTAATAGTCTGGACGGAGAGGCATCATTCATCTGATAAAAGCTGCCACACACTGTGTGTGTTTGCTGTTAACACTCTTTACTCCCCTCCATGATACCCAGAGACCTCAGGCTCCCTCTTAATTCCGAGCCTCTACCACTCTTAGGGATATAGAAAACCCTGTTCAGGTTTGAAATTGCAAATTGATTGCATGTTGGCCACATCTGCCCCAGGATGGTTTCAGTTTGGCCTTCACACAAAAATCCAGCTTTAGGGTTTCTCTTAGAGAAAAAAACAAAAACAAAAACATAGAATAAATATCTCAGAACACAGGACCCACATTCCTAAGGGCAACATTCTGCCAGCGCTGAACAGCTGCTCCCTTCAGTTACAGCGCGGACACTCCAATTTGCAACGTTACTGATCACCCCCCATTGTCTTCCACCCGACCAGGTTCACGCAGTTGTGCTTTCTCTCCCCTGCAGACCTGTGTCTGCAAACTCCAGCTAGACCTTTCCTGCCTGCCACCAGAGAGAGCTTCCTTTCTTCTGTCCCTCAGCAGTTTCCCAACCAATAGCGAGGTGACCAGGCCCGCTGTGGGTATTCCTACATGTGCTTTCTGGAGATAGCATCCCAACAGAAAGAGGTGACTGTGCCGGTGGGAATGACAGGCACTGCGGGACCACAATCTGGATGGCAACGGCCCACTCTACTTTTTCTGCGATCCTGACGCAGCCATACCTCACTGTTCCCAGGCAAACCAAAGGGGCTGGTTTTCTGTAGAACAATGAGCACCGGCCATCGATCACCCTAGTTCCAAAGGACCAAAAGCTACTAAGGGACAGTCCGACCCCCGTTTCCTCGGAGGCTGCAGGATATGCGGCCTGAAAGCATCTCCCCTCACCTGATTTCGGGGCCCCTTCAGTGAGCGCCGGGCAGCAGGGCCCTAGGAGCGCGCGCGTGCAGCATGAGCTCATTTCTCAGGGGCGTTCCCAGGAGGCCCGCCCGGCCTCGGTT